TGATGACAGAGGCAGATCAACATACAAGATGAAGCTGCAACTCATTCAATCTCATACCAGAACAATGGTAGTGAACACAAAAAGACAGAGAATTTACTGTCAGGTAGCAGCAAAAGAAGAAATACCCTTGCACTTTGAATATGTACTCTGTTTACAGAGTAAAGAAAGCAACTAAATAAAGCCAAGATCAAGTTGGAGTATATTCTACCAATGACTGTGTAACTAATCATTAGAAATCGTAACACACATACCACAGAGGCCAATATTAAATTGAGTTACTGTCATGTTAGTATAGTCTTCTGGTCTATTCAATCAAATACTGGCTGCTTAAAACCCAGAGGGATAAGTTCTGTTCTTAGTTACACTGATGTCCTCAGTGGAAATTATTAAGAATTGTGGCCAAGAAAAGAGTTTACAGCACAGTAGATGTTTAAAGAAATGTTCGTATTAATTCAGATTTTATTCCAGTACCAGAGCTATACAGTGAAAAAGATGACATCTCCATATAGCACATACTCAATTTTTTATTATGATGGAGATTAAGAATACAATGTTTTGCAAAGATGACATTTTATAACCTTGTAAAAACCCACTTACTCAAACCATACCCAAAACAAGACAACTCTGTTACAGTCCTCCTAGTTGGCCTCCAAAGTCAACAGAAGCAATGACCTCTTAAAAAGAAGATTTTCTTTCTGTATTCAGTCAACTCACGACTGTTAGCAAGCAGAGAACAAGATACAGTCAAGAACCTGAGCAGTATTTAAGTTCCAAGATTGATATTCGTCATACAACTTACTGCTCAGGGATTCTGTGATGCCATACATGTCCTACAGGAAGTATGTAATTGTTCCCAGTTTTACCCATACCCAATAATTTGTAAAAGACATGCCTTGAAAGCCCTGAATAGACAGCACTAAAAGCACCTTAAATAGATAAGCCTTAAACACAGTGATCTCAAGAAAATGTGATGCAGAAACAAAAACTAATAGCTTCTAAACCTCATCATTACCTGAGTAAACTCACTGTCAAATTAAGCACAGAGATGGAATATAGAAAACAATGTATACCAATTTTCTAGGTTTTCTTAGGGTCACTTCGAAATTTTAAGAAGATTAAGAGTTTACTATGGCAAATACAAACTAAAACATAGTAATTAGAAGCAGAGAAGTGCCTGATGAACAATCATATAATACAAAGAATATTAACGACATTATCCTGTCTGTGGAATCTGGGAAAAAATACACTTCAAAATTGCAGAAATGTTAAATGTAAAATACTTCTTGCAGATTTTCAATCCAAAAGAAACCCACTTATTACAGTATTTGTTGAAGCCTGGTTGTAATTAAATAAGGAAGGATATTAAAACTTCCAAGAGATTTTTTTAAGCCACAACAGAAGAAAAGGCACAATTGCATAATTGGAACCAAATCCAAAACCCACTTCCTTCTTATTTACTAGTATCATCTAAAGGACACTATTTAAATGCTGAAAGGTCAGGAGCTGACAACTATGAATCATCTAAAAGTCAAAAATTTCAAAGGAATTGTACAACATGGGTTAAAAGTTTATAGATGAGAGATATAGAAAGTTAGTGCTCACTGCAAAACCACATCCTAGGAGTCACTGTATCTCTTGTCAACAAAATCATAGAATCCTATTTTGTTATGGGAAAAGAAATCCTCTTGGGTAGCAATAAGTGTTTGCTACACAGAATTTGAAAGAAAGACGTCTTTTTTAAGATATTAAAAATAATATATCTTCAGAGAACAGGATTTCACTTGATAATTTGGTGCTGCACAGACCAGTTAAATACAAAACTAACTTGCCAGTCAGTGGGATATTTTTTTAAAAAGCTTCAGATCATTTTCATTGGCAGTTGAATTCAGCTCAATGCTCTTTGTCATTTGCATATCTGTGCAGGAAATTAGTATCAAAAGCATTTTCCAGCCCTACCCTCTGGGAAAAAAAAAAATCCTCTTGCAATCCTATAAGGCATGCAGAAAAGTGATAGCACAGATATAGATGGGCATGTATATGCTAGGTTTTTTTGCTATAAAATAAACCATGCAGTTTTCACGATTTTCTAATTATTTGAGTGCCTTAATTCCTGGTTTTTTTTTTTCCTTTCTGACATAATCAAAGACATCAACACTGACCAATGAAGACATATGTATTGGCCAGCTTCACGATTCTCAGTTCAAAACAAAGGGTTGGACAAAAGATGCAAGTACACTCCTACGTTAGCTCAGTGCATGAAATGCTGGCAAAACCAAAAAGTTTCATACAAGTCCCTGCTTTTGCAACATTATTAATAGGAGGATGGTTCAGTAACGCTTTTGTTTTACACACAGAAAATTCCTTTTTTCTCATTAAAAAATATTACACTTCAATGAAATTCATTCTGAAGGAAAAGTTATCATGATACATCTCTTTGACCTCTAGATCCCATCATTAATCAATGACAACAAGAATCTAACAAACTAAAAGTCTACAACTTTAGGTTCCTTATAGTTTTGGCAGCATCCATGAGAAACTTCTAAAGGTCATTTTTTTAAACATTCATCACATGAGGAAGAACTACTTTTAGGTATCTTCGCTTGGATGTAAAACCCTAATCCCTGTGAAAGCATGGATCTTATCACAGTAATTGTCTAACTTTCCTTTAAAAAACCCATTACCATGAGAAGTCCTGTAAGAGCAATTTTATTATTTACTTATTTAATTTTCAGATTTGTGCTACTGTTATTAAACTCATCCTTAAATACTTACAAATAACCACCAGTCTTGCAAAAAGAAAGAAAATTAACCAGAAAAACTAGATGTTCTCTCTGAGGGAGGCTCAGCAGTCAGCTACATTTTACTTCATTCATTTTAACACATTTTTTTAATAGAATTGATCACATGGGTTTATTTTTGGTACTCTAGCACCTCATCTACAAACACTTCTTCCAATTGAATATATGTTCTCATTGCAGTCTTGGGCCAACACCCTAAAATTAATTTGGACCTAAGTAACAGGATTATCTAAAACAAAAGCACCATTTTCTGAATAACATTTTATACCCATACACTATTCCAAAATACCAACTTGAGTTTAATTTATCCAACACTGAAGTAAATAAAACCACTTATTTTTCAATGAGAATGTGCATGTATGGAATTACCTGTTAATAACTTTTAGACAACTATAATTTGGTAACAAGCATGAAACGACTTAATGTTTGAAAATCTCAAAAAACTACTACACTTTCCCTTCACCATTTAGTACTTTTTCAGCTAAGCTAAGCATATAGAAGACAAACACCACCTCACATGCTTTGTTCACTAACATTTATCCAGGTCTTCAATCCCTTTCCTATGTATCCCAGTGAGTGGCCTAAAGGACAATGTGTAGAAGTTCAGACAGAAATTCTGCAATATAAGAACACTTTTGTGCAGAGTTAAATCTATCCTAACCAAGAAAAAAGATTCTAAAGACAAATGAGGTACCAAGTTGAAATACAAGAGCTACAGCAAAACCTAACTTCAACTCTTTTTACTTTCAGCATTTGATAAAATATCTAATAAAAATCAAGAAAGTTTCATTTTAAAAAAAAAGCCAAAAACGGTGGAATAAGAAATTAAAAAAACAAACAAACAAAACACAAACAAACAAACAAAAACAAAATACATTAATAAAAAAATAACAGAAACCCTTTTAATAAAATTAGAAATGAAAAAGATCAAGGACAAGCTGCCATAATATGGAACACTACAATATCTTAAAAATAAAATCCCCTAACTATTAAAAGGTATTTAACATACATTTAAAATATTTTTCTAAACTGCTTATTACACTTTTCAAATGCAGACACACTATTTACAAATATATTTACGTATAATTAAATTCAGTCCTTACAAACATTTGTTCTGAAACAAATGAAAATTTCTTTGTTGATTTAAGCAAGGGCTTCCCCTCCTTTCCAGATCTGATTTTGGAAGGTATTTAGACAAGAGCACTAGGCTCTAAAACAAGAGGAACCTCAATCATTAGTCTCAATCACTATTATTATACAATGATATAGGTGGGAAGGAACATTTGGAGATCACCTTGTCCAACCTCCTGCTCACACCTGGCCCACCTGCACAATGGGCACTGTCATCTCTCAAGTGTACTGACAGATACAATGTGAAGAAAAATACAACTGAATAAAGATGAAAAAAATGGAGCACTGTAGTAGCTTTGATTAGAACTTCATATAATTTTGATGCACATTTTAAAACATAAACAAAAATTCCTCTGCAAAATATACCCGTTTGGTACCAGCAAGTACCTACATCAGCAAGACAACATATCATCCAATCACACGCAGCTCATACCAACATCACTTTCTTTTTACAAATTATAAAACATTGCACCATTGGTGCTTAAGTGTTCAAAGAAAATTTAAAGTTCTCATTATTTGTAGTATATGGTATATCTTTCTTGATCAAAACAATTTTGTCTTCAATACATCTAGAAAAAATGTTGCATCTTCAAGTTTACTTTATTCTTTAATTCCCGGAGCCAAAAGGCAGACGTCCTGGACTACATTACTTTGAAACTTAGGTGATACTTGATTACTCTGGGTGATTTTGCTCAAGTTATTCAGCCACTCTGATACTAACACTGCCCAGTGCCAAGGCCCCAAAACCAGTTTCACCACTTATACTTGTCTTATCTCAAATCACCTACTACAACTGTTAAAATCTCAGAGATATTATAAACCTTGATTAACCTGTTTTCCAAGAACATGTAAAAAGTGAAAGCCAAACTTAATGCAACAGTAACTATAACCATGTCATATAAAATGGTCACTACCAGAGTGGCAGAATAAGGAAACTATCACTAATGCCACTACTGTCATTATTATTTGTCATCATTAGCTGTAGTAACTAATGCATATTAATTTGTGTCCAAATGGTAGGTTTAGGTTCAAACATAAGGAAACAAAAGGAAATTTTTTAAAAACTCCTACCTGAGTTGACAAGAGATTGCAGTCAATGTGCAGCCCTTTTCCAGTCTTATACCTCTGAAGTAAACCAGCCATAATTGCTCCATATGTATACAGCCCAGTAGCAAGATCTGTCATTGCTACTCCCATTTTAACTGGCTCCCCATCCTAAAGAAAAAAACACCCCGAAACAAAATGAGATAAACAAAACAATAGACAAAACAAAACAAACAAAAAAAAAGGAAGAAAACAAGCAGAAACAATACAACTGTGCAGGGCTATGATCTTATTGGCATCACAGAGACATGGTGGGATGACTCCTATGACTGGAGTGTTGGAATGGAAGGATATCAGCTCGTTAGGAAGGACAGGCAGAGGAGATAAGGACACGGTGTTGCCCTCTACATAAATGACCAGTTGGAGCGCATGGAGTTCCACCTGGGGATGGATCAAAAGCTGATGGAGAGCACAGGGAGGGCAGCTACAGGTGACATTACAATGCTGCTACAGGCTGCTCATCCAAGAGGACAGTGTGAATGAGGCCCTCTACAGAGAGACAACAGTGGCCTCACATTCACAAGCCCTGGTCCTCATAGGAGATTTCAACCATCCTCGACTTGTTGGAAAGACAACACTGTAGACCCAGACACTGTAGGAAAAGAGCAGGTTCAAGACAACCTAAGGAACCTGAACATGGACAAGTCTATTGGACCTTATGACATACATCAGATGTAGGTCCTGAGGGAGCTGGCAGTGGAAGTGGCTAAGCCACTCATGGTAGCCCAGTGAAGTTCCCACTAACTGGAAAAGGGGAAACATAACGCCCATTTCTAACAAGAGAAAGAAGACGACCCAGGGAATTACAGGCCCATCAGTGTCATCTTCATATCCAGCAGGATTATGGAGCAAATCCTCCTGAAAGCTATGTTAAGGCACATGGAAAGTATGCAGGTGATTTGTGACAGGTAATATGGCTTCACTAAGGGCAAACTGTGCCTGACAAATTTAGTGGCCTTCTATGATGGGGTTACAGCAGTTGTAGATATGGGAAGAGTGACTGATGTCATCTTCCTGGACTTGTGCAGGTAACTAACCCACATGACATCCTGGTCTCTTAAACTAGAGAGACATGACCTTGATGGATGGACCACTTGGTGGATAAGAAATTGGCTGGATGGTTGCACTCAAAGAGTTGCAGTCAATGCCAGATATCAGCATCTTTGAGTGAACTGAAGTATAAGAACCACCACTGAAAACTAGATATTCTTACAGCAGGTACACAGAACTGTCACTTTATGATGTTGCATACCGCAAATTGTGAATGATTTGTTATGTAACTTTTTGTCCCTAATAACATAATGCTTCAACTTACCAGTGCAAAAAGAAAAGAGATAATGTTAGACACAAGAGAAGCCAGTGAAGACCAAATTTTGCCATGCCCAGAAGCCAAAGGTCTAAACAGTTTCCAGGGTGTGCTGACACAGGTGCCTATCTGTTTGAAAGGCAGAACCATATTGCTTCATTTTTCTCACTCCCTTTTTCTCCCTTCTCTTCTGTCCCTCCCCCAGTCAAAGGTCAGTGTTGTATTTTCCAGTATACACACTTCAGGCTTCTAGTAAGAAAAAAAGAACAACTTTTTGTTTAGACATGTAAACATTACACATGTAAAGACAGGCAAATTCCTGACCTTCTGACTGAAATCACTGAAAAGTTGTTGGTTCAAATATTCTTTTTCAGTATGTCGTCCCTTTTCTGGCATCAAGGGAAGAATCTTCATTTTACTGTTTCAGAACTGTGTTACTGTGTTTCAGAACTTCTGTAATCATTGGCATGAAATACAACCCTTCTGAAATCAATGGCAAAATGAACTTCTAATTTCAGTCCAGCTAGGCTTTTATCAAAAGATCTTAAAAGTGCTTCTTCTGAGACATTCTACCATTTCCTATTCTGAAAAGTTTGAGGTCAGGTGATCAGGTTCTGACAGCAGTTCCCTGTTTTGAAGTATTTTTTTTTTTAATTTTCAAGTTTTGAAGAAAATAGAAGTGCAAAGCTAATGGGACTGTTCCAGACTTTTAGCTCCCCCATAAACCCATCATAAGACAACTCAAAATCAGTATAATTGATAAATAATAACTGCTTGTGAAGTACCCATAAATGTATTTAAACTAATGTAGCATAAGTTCAATAAAATTTAATTTACAGAATTATTTTAATTAGCCATATCTAAACTTCTAAGTGTAATTATTGTAATAGTAATCTTGTAATCAAGATTGCAAGAGTAACTGATAATTATTAAAATTATTTTTAAAAGAGTGTCTTGACTTCATGTAAGACAATTAATCTTCACCATCTTTTTTCTTTTGCACTCCAACAGGATTTACATAAATCTGCTGTCAAGTCATATATAAGTTACAATATTTTTCTTAAAATAATTTTATTGTATTATTAATTGCATTAATAGAGCAATTTTGAAATGAAAGGCAGTAGGACAATATTTCCTATGTAAGGTGGAAAAGGCTGCTATTTTATTCATATCATGGAAGTGACTAAAAATTATAAAATCTGTATCAAATATGACAAAGTTAAAAAAAAATCTGAATTACTCTCATTCAAACTGCAGTAAGGATTAGTCTGGGGCTATCTATAGCCTAGATATCTATAGATTGATATGTAAACCACACAACATTAAGGTGAACACTGCTTTAGGAAGTACTACTTTATTGAAGAACCTCTTATTTCTTCCTTCTCCGCACTCTACACCAAGTCACTTCACCTTCCCAGTAGAAAAGACAACTCAAAGGTTCCAGCCATTTACTACTCTCATTGTACCCAGCTCTGGGGGAAAACAGGTAAGAAAGTTGTTCTGTTTTATATGTGTGCAAAGGCCTACTGAAAAAACTAATTAGCACTGGAATGTTTTTGAACTGCAGAGCTATCACTAAGAAATAAAATGCAAAAAAGAAAACAAACCTAAAAATGTTTCCCCTCTATTATCTGCTGCAAGATCTCAGTCTGTTAAATTGTTCTTTCTTCATTACAGTAATTTCATTACATTCACTGAGTTGGGAAAAAAATCAAAAATACTTTAGATTTTGCAAACACATGTGCAGCAACATTCTTAGTTTGAAAACACTTTTTATCATTTTCAAAGTGTCATTAATTTCACCCTTGAATGAGAAAACTACACTTTGAAGATCCAGAAATCAGGACTATTCCAATAGGTTATTACATATGAATTTGCTTGATTCCCAGATACCTTCCTCATCAAGTACTAAACTACCTACTGTTTAAAAGCAAACACTTTATTTGCCTCAGCAAAACGTTCACTTTTATTTCTAAAATACTTTCATGATTTCCCTTTACCGAACACTCCTGCAAACTACTAGCACTATACTGTTATTGTTATTTTTAACATGTTAGCTTTACTTTACCCTAACATTTCACAACCTATAATTTTGAACAAGTCCACACAATTTCTAACCTTCTTTGGTCTTTCCTACCAAGGTTCATGACTAGTTGCCATTTTTCACCGCTTAATCAGCTTTAATCAGCTCCTGTACCATAAAACAGCCTTTTGGTGGTAGGATGCTTAGCTGTAAGTACTGTGAAACAAATTCATTCAGGCTTTCATCTCTGTCCTGCAGAAGAAGGGAAATGAAGCTGCTTTACATGAAGGATAAAGCTCCACACACACACAGAAATACTTTCCTATAGACAGAGCTTCTGACAGCACAGCAGTACTTTTATGTAGTTAACTTTACTTCAGTTACATGAACAAAGTAAGGTCCTATACAGTATCTTTGATTCAAGGAAATTACTCAAAAGTAACAAACACCGCCACCTCTCTCAGCCAAAAGTGGTGTTACTGTTCTGGTAGAAAGATGAAATATAGCCCTAGTCAGGGAGAAGTGCCTCAAGCAAAGAAAGCTGCATCAAGGCTCAAAGACTGGGTTGAACCCTAATTAGGTGCAGCACCAGGACATTTGAAAAGAAAAAGATTCACGTCAGTAGAGTGGACCTTTTCTTACATCACTGTGCTTTACTTACCACTGTGCTCAATCTTATGACCAGTTTACACTTTTATACCTAATTTTTGCTGCTTGCTAAATTCCTTAAATTTGTCAGCATATTCTGGCCCAGAGATAGCCACAACATGTTTTGGAAGCTTCCTTTCCTGAATCTTTTTTTTTGCTCTTTGACATATTTTCTATTCCCAAACTTACAACAATAATATAAAAATCATCCATTAAAAATGAAAATTGTCTTGAAATGACCTGCTTAATAAAAGCATTCTAAGTCCAGTAGTCTTTACAGATGTGACAGAGTTGCTGGAGCTAATATGAACCAGCAATGGTTGTATTTTTCAACAGCTCTGAGCTATATACCAGGTATACTCCTTTGTTATAGTTTGTTCGAATTTAAGCTGAAAAATGGTCTCTCTGGATTGTAGATCCCAATCATGTCTTGCTGTCTGATATTCAGTAAAACAAAAATATTTCTTCAGTAGGAAAGAATGCACCACCATAAAGATACTTTGAATATTGAAAACTCCATGTAATAATCAACTTGGAGATGCAAGGGGATTTGTATTCAAATTGGGCTTTATTTAATTAATTTCAAGTTATTGCCTTAATGAGTCATAGAAATGTTCATCAAAAGAATATTCATCTGGCACTGATATATCTGAATATATTAAGTAAAAAGTTTCTGTTCCTCAAATATGAAACTTGAATGTGGTGTTTAACTAGGATATATCTATAAATTTTTTTATCCAGGACAATAAAAGTGTCATCAGGGCAAACTTTGTCCTTTAGCATATTTTAGCATATTTTAATTTACGTAAAGAAAACCTGAATGTGGTCTGAAGCAACTACTTTCATTCAAAATGGGTTTATGTTACCTATTTATACAAAAGAGATTCCCCTCATAAACACACTAGAATTTCAAATTTCATAGGTGTCATACATTTCTAATACAGAAGTAATCAAGCACGTGTGTAAGAGCTGGAATTCCGTGTCTATTTCTGTACATGAACACATAACTTAAAGATAGTATTCTACCGTGTTTGGTTTTGTACAACCAGCAAAAACCACACTAGCACAAATGCATCTGTTTGTGCCTGTAACTTCACAATATTCCAGAAGTTATAGCTTGATTTCCAGGTTCAGAATATGCTCAGAAGCATTTCAAACCTATTACCATTAAGTGATATCAGTAACTTCTATTTCCAGGCAGGAAAAGGTAAAACATGCCATTGACTTCTTTTTTTTATGCAGGAATATGTATTTCTATTGGATCTATACATTTTTAAAAAGTCAGATACAGGACAAAAGTTTAGTATCCTATTATTAAAATGCTTTGTGAGGAGCTGTGAATATGTATACCTCAATAGTAAGCACTTCAGTCATGTATGCAGATATTTTGTTGCTCCTGCTCAAATTCATTATAATTTGTCTGTAGCATAAGTTGATGCCTCTAAAACCATCCTGCAAGCACATTCAATGGTTTGTTTACCAAAGTTTCCACAGAGCACTGTTGTACTGATGATGTTATGTTGAATTCTCTATAGCTATTGCAATGCAATACAAAACCAACACTGTCTGTTATAACTTTTCCTTTTCCAGTTTATAAGAGTGGTCTTTTTTATTTTATTTAAGAAAAAAATCGTTTACTAGGGTATGCTTCAAATGAACATATTACCTTTAGTATATAAATTCCATGTTATCTGGTCAACAAATAATTTAAGCTTTATTTTAAAAAGCACCATACAAGAGTGAGTAAGATTCTTTTTTCTTCTTTATTTTGGCCACTTTTCTACATGCTGACTGAAACAAGGTTTTCTGCTTTTGTTCAGAGTTAGTTTTGTGGAATTTTAAACATAACTCAGTCACATGAATATAAATGTAAGAAAAACATGGAAGATTTTACTTTTCTCTTTCAAAGTAACTTTCAAAGAAGTATACAATATGATTTTAAAGCCACTTGAGTAAATTTTCACAACATCAACAAAAGCCACATTTGCTTCTTTGGAGTCATTGACTACTTGAGTCTTTGAAAGAAAACTGTCCCTCTATACATCAAAAAATGGTTTTGAGAAACTGAGGAAATACTGTATGAACAACTTCAAATAAAGAAAAATAAGAAGTAAGTTTTAGCATGTTTATTTTAATCATGCAAAAGAGTGACTAAGTTTGAATGAATTACTAAAAGGCCCCAGTGAACAGACAAAGCTGTTACTGACAATGATTAAATAATTCCTATGACTACATTGCCTCAAGTCTTGGTGAGGTGATGTGAACATCTGGTTTTCCAGTGTAGATCTTAATACAATCTTTTAATAAAATCCATCATCTTCATAATGGCCACCAAGGACTATTACTCTCATAATAGAACTTACATGCAATTACTCAGTATAACAGTTGTATTTTCTGTCATTCCCATATCATTGAAAAGCTTTACAAGAATCCTACGTTTTTCAATTTTTCAACATCCTTTCCTTTATTTGTGTTGCACTAACAGCATTTGCTCATTCTATTAGCTTATACTCCCTTTTAATTTTGTTTGGTATATTTTGAAATGTGCATGAAGTTTCTGGCATTGTACTGGAAGTATTAATCTCCACCCTGCAAACAATGGTCCAGATGTAAAATTTACTTACACTACAGTTACTGTGATCAGTCATTGCTCAGTGTATATGTGCCTTACACATGTGAAGGGAAGTAAGAGCCATAAGGACTGCACTCATGTCTTCTAGTGTTCTGAGATGGGGCATCCTATAAGTATGTACCAATAACATGGCAGAAATGGACAAACAGTTTCAGGACACTAGGCACAAGATGTTTCAGCTCATTCAGTCAAACAATGCTTGATTTTTATTCTTTTTTTCCTAATAGAAAGGACAACTCTGGTAACAATAATTGCCACAAGCACAGAGTTCTGATGTTTGCCATTATTCTCAGCAGAAAACAAGTCTATTTGGCAGACTATCAACCCTGCAGTAGAGCTGAGTCCAAATCATGTGTGGTTAGCTTTGAACAACCTACTCAAACACGAGTATTTGACACTAAGTAGAGAAACTTTATGCACTCCTTGTTTATCTAGGGCATGCAAGTTCATAGAGATCTGCCCTACTGCTTCCAGAGTATCAGGAACACCACCACAGAACACTTTGTAGCATTTACAATGCACAGAACAGACTTGTAACACCACCTTACTTGAGAAGTGACATTTGGAGGCCACATTCCTTGCATCTGTAGGTGATTCAAGACAGCATAAGAAAATGCTTATTTGGCCATCATTTCTCTGAGGTGAAGACACACATTTTATGTATCCCTAGAATCCAGATACTAAACTACCTCTGTCACGCTTCCTGCACTACTGCAACTACCAAAGATCAGTGGGATTAGCAGCACATAAAGCTTTCCAGAACCACTAATGGCATCTCTCTGCTTATTTCCAGGCAGAATGATTGAAAAAACTTTTTGTCAGAGTTATCTACATAGCTTCGCAGTTCCCTCTTTTAAAGAGGGAATATCAATATTCAAGCATCAGTGAGATTTCACATATGGTTCCATCATCCAGGCATCAACATGTCTATTACAGCTCTTGAAGTGACAACAAGTGGCCACTAACAGGTTAGCATACATCGTCAATTTATTCCCTGGAGATCTAGGGTTTTTCTTTTTTTCTTTCATTTTCTGTTTCTGGGACATTAGCTTTGGAAGCCTGGAGTGAGATATCTTTCATTCCCAGAGGTGAGACCTCTTGGAGGGCTTGCATAACAGATGTGTTAGCATAGGCTAACTTGATCCATGCAGCAAACAGTTTTGGTACGTGGCACAGAGATTGTATTAAATTTGCAGGTTGAGCATCATACCTCATGCCCTGTGATATGCATGAGACCAGAAACAGCAGCGGCAATGGAGTCATATCCACCTCTCTGAACCACTGGACCAGTCTGACCATAACCTAAAATAGAAACAGAACAATTGGTAACTCAGTCAAGGACAAGTACAACATAAACTATTTCTTCTCAGCTTTTGTTCGCAAGTTGTCCAGATTGTACAACCAGTGAATGCTATTGTATTCTATTTATTCCTGCATATTTTTAAGAGTAAGCAGTTGGATTTATCCTCTGTGGGTTGATGACATGTTTGATCTTAATTCTAGACAGACTCTTGTCTCTGCTATGTTTCATTCACTTTGGATAGAATTACTCTTTTAATTTGCTGGGTCAGCTGAGGTCGAACTCAGATGTCATTTTAGAGGCTCTATGGTATCTCTACAGGCCTCTAATTGGTGTCCAACAGAGCCCATGTTGCCTGTGTTTTATCTCCACTCTAACATAAGGATACCTTGAATACCACAAATGATACTGAAATCATGACATTATGGTGCGGAACACATGAATTGTTCCCCCCTTATTTCTGTTACTTTATTCCACATCTACACAGAGTTACCTTCAAAACAGAACACTGTTTACAAGAGATGGCAAGGCTGGCCCTTTAGCAAGTACACACAATCTGTTTGCCAGGAGTTAGCAACAATGAAATGCAAAATACCAAAAATTTTTACAGAACTACATAAGTAGAGTTTTGTTCACCTGTAGAATTAACTTAAAACTAACAGCTGTAGCCAGAAGGATGTTCTCTTGCTTTTCTCTGCTATACTCACCATGTTCTTCTAACAACAATCACAAAATCTTCCAGTTGAGGAAGTCTTGTACAAGCAACTGAGGAGGTCACTCGAACCAGTGACCACCACCACAGAGGGTAAAGTCAACAGAGAAAGAGTAACATTTGATTGATGGTTTCCATTAGTTCTAATAATGGCAGAGCCCTCAAAAATCAGATTTAAGCATCTGTCCTCCTCAAAGAGGTAGCAGATTCAAACACTATTCTCATGCTTTCATTTCCCTTTTCAGATATTTCCAGGAGAAATCCCTTGGCCACAGGAGTAGTTAAGAGATATTTGTCACAGACAAGATTCCTGGTTTGGCTGATAGTTTTAAGGCAACATTTCTGTATTATTCTTAGCTGTGAGGACAATATTAATACTACATTATATCAACATATACTGCAAGATAAAAATTTCTGAGTCTTCTAGATTCCTTTTCATTATTCTCCTGGAATCTTCTCAATATACAGGCAGTCTGTTCAGCAGACATGACTGTCTAAAGATCGGCTTTGTTGACTACAGCAGACAATTAAAAAGCATTTTTCATTGGGATAATCTTCTTCAGTTCGTCCACTTGGGCAAATGCTGTTATGTACAAAATTCATAAATGGCTTCTAATGTACAGTGCAAGGGAATTATGATCACTTTAAACTGGAGTTAAAGCACTTTGTTACTTCAATTTACATATCACACCAATTCAAACAATATCCACTAACCATACGGATTTCCCTATTACACCACAAACTATCTCAATTACTTGATATTTTTCTGGGGACATGAGATCCACATTGCGCAAAGCTGGGGAGGAACTCCACTTCTACACTCAGTGTCGCCAGGAGTATCAGAATATTACAGTCAACCCACTGACTTTGTCAATGCAGCCTCAAAACAAACATTTGGAAGAAAGAATTCAACACTTTCCTTATGATCAAATCTGATTCTTATTGACGTCCTTACTCATAAGAGAGAGAAGAAAAAACCTACCAGTTTACCCAGTTTTATTCAAAATCATGTCTCTGACAACAGCTGACTCCGAGACCCCAAAGAGAACTTGCGACATTTCCTTTCATATTTACACCCATAAGTTTACAGCAAAGAACAGTGTATTCATTTTCAAACATAAGAGGACTAGCAAATAAAATACAGTGGATCCACCCAAAAATGCTCCGAAGGGCTCTAACTAGGCATATACCATTATCTCACTGGAATGAACTGTAGAATTAAAACCAGTTAAGTGTGTGGGGCCACTTCAAAAACAAAATCTTGCTCAATAAAAATTACTCAAAACAACTTTAATTGAATAGTGAAAAGCATATTGAAGCAAGTGAGAAATTACGTACTGGCCTCAATTATTAGCAAAGAAAAGACATCTCAACACATCTGCTCACACAAATGTTTTCATAAACAGAAAACAACTGAAAATTAAACGTAGTATGTAGACAGAACAACTATACAATGCTTTGCAATGCTCTTCTGGAAAGGACAAATATCCATCCCTCAAACACTGAATTCAGGAAAGGTAACAGGCAATAAGTTATGCATTTTTCTAGGGGGGTTTTCAAATTTTTTTAAGTCCTTTCCACTACAACACCCTGGTTTCAAAATGAAAGGTATTATTTAATGGCTTTCTGGTTAAAATTAGAGGTTCTAAGGAGTGTTTAATTAGTTTTCACAGGTCACAATAGATTAAAAAGAAAAAAAAGGCATAATTCTGATTCGATCTAAATTCTGAATGGACAAAGTTAGTGTGGGGACAAAATCTGTTTTCACTGGAAATAGTTTACCCCAGGAACTATGGACATACAAACGCATATGGGAAAAGGCAGCCATTTACTTGTAGGAGTTAAGTGAAAAATGGCTATTGCCCAAAATGAAAGATCGCATTATCCAGACAAAAATCAAAGGCTGAACATTATTATTCTGGTAAACTACACAGGTCAATGGAGTAAGACAGTCCAGAAGCTTCAGAAATAACTATGAACACAAATACAAAAAGCTTGAAGGAGAGCCCAAAATTACATTCAGAAAAATTTCAGCCTGGTACACAGATTTTACCATAACTGTAATGTATACACATACCTGTGCATATATATGTGTACATATACATAAATATATAAAATAACTTCTTAAAGATATAAAAATATCACCTGAAGTTTATGCTTGTTCAAATATCCTATGTTCACTCATACTTGAATTCAGCATGAAAAGAATAGATTTGCAATTCCACCCTTAACCCTAAATAAAGGTTCCTGTTTAGTAAAACACAGTTAGTGTCTTAGAGTTTAGATAAAATGAAAAATACTTTAGGCTAAAAAGATAATCCCAGTTGGATATAGAGAGAATGGATTTAACAGTAATGGTCTCAGAAGGCAAGACAAAGGAAATTATTACACTCCCCTCTAGTGAAGCTTAACACCTTAGGCTACAGTCAATATTTAAATAGTCTTTAACAGTAGAGAATTTATTTTAGTTCCTTAAGTGCAGTGAATATATTTTTATTTTAGGGAATATATTTCAGAGGAGAGACAAAAGAATTTGAAATTAATAAAACTGAGTGTTTTCTAAATCATTTCAGCTGCATAGGTAGCTGCCTAGGTGCTGAATCTCATATAAAGTTTAGATTTGTATAAAACAGAATCTGCAAGGAGCAAGAGAAAGTTGCACCATGCTAAATCCCTATTCAACTCCCAGAATCCCTATTCTACACCTTGCACTAGGAAGGTACGATTTATTCTGATAACTGCCACATATTCATGTGCCTAGATCTCAAAATTGTTGCAGTATGAGCTGGTTTTCTCTACTGCAAGATGTAGATCAGTTTCACAATCAAACTGGGTACAAGACAACAATCGCCAGTGAGATCTCCAAGTGCTTCCTAAAAATTGTCATTGTCAAAGCACTATTCAATCTGTATAGCAAGCTCTTGAAACTACCATAAACATAGACGTTCACAGACTCACTGAATGGGGAAGGTTGGAAGGGACCACAGAGGGTCATCGGGTCCGACCTCCCTGCTCCAGCAGGGCCGTCCTAGAGCACATTGAACAAGATTGAATTCCGGTCAGTTCTCGGGTATCTCAAGTGAGGGAGACTCGAGTGAGGGAGACTGCACAACCCCACTGGCTAATCTGTTCCACTGTGCTGTCACCCACAGAGTAAAGCAGTTCTTCCTCATGTTCAGGTGGAATTTCCTGTGCATCAGTTTCTGCCCATTGCCTCTTGTCCTATTGCTTGGCACCACTGAGCAGAGCCTGGCTCCATCCTCTGACACCTCCCTTCAGATACTTACAGACATTGATAAGAGTCCCCTCTCAGTTGTCTCTTCAAGGTTGAACAGGTCCAGTTCCATCAGTCTCTCCTCATAAGAGAGATGCTCCAGTCCCCTAAAGATCTTTGTCACCTTCCACTGGACTTGCTCCAGGAGCTCCATGTCTCTCTTGTACTGAGGAGCCCAGACTGGACACAGCACTCCAGGCGAAGCCTCACCAGGACTGAGCAGAGCGGCAGGATCACCCCCCTCAACATGCTGGCTATGCTCCTCCTAATGCACCCCAGGATACCACTGGCCTTCTTGGCCACAACGGCACATTGTAGGCTCACGGACAGCTTGTTGTCCACCAGGACTCCAAGGTCCTTCTCTGCAGAGCTGCTTTCCAGCAGGTCAGCCCCCAGCCTGTACTTTGTATTTGCCTTTGTTGAATTTCAGACAATTCTTTGCCTGTCTCTCCAACCTGACAAGGTCCTTCTGAAGAGCTGCACAGCGTTCAGCCACTCTTCCCAGCTTTGTGTCATCAGTGAACTTGCTGAGGCATCTGTCCCTTCATCCAAGTCATTGATAAGTAAGTTAAGCAATACTGGGCTCAGTAACGAACCCTGTGGTACACCACCAAGGTTACAGATCTCCAATTAGACCCTGTGCCACTGATTATGACTACTAAAGGGTTATTTGCTTATTCAGCATAGTGACTTACACCTAAATCTTTCTCTCCCTGTCCTGACCCTGCAGCCAAGTCTATCTTCTACGTAAGAAAGTATACCTTTACTGTTTGAAGCTTTTTGTGAACAAGCAATATTAGCTGGGTATGAGACAAATATGAAAGAACAGGCACTGTCTACTTTGTATCAGTTAAAAGGGAAACATGGGTCTTTATGGGAGACACTTACAAAGCAAATGACATAGCCTTCTACCAGCAATCCTGTATTCCTCACAATTTCCACCAGCAATCTTGTACCCTTAGCTCAGACAAGAATGGAGAAAGGGACTTTACTGGCTCTATTTAGCATCCCCTGTT